TCTCTCTCTCTCTCTCTCTCTCTCTCTCTCTCTCTCTCTCTCTCTCTCTCTCTCTCTCTCTCGGTCAGATGACAGTTTTGGAGTTAGTGTCACCTTCTGCCTTGGTAGAGTCAGGACCTCTTGTTTCCCACTGTGTACCCCTGTTTAGCTTATCAACAGCATCTGGTCTCCTGGCGCCATCTCCCATATCAAATGCACTCATCCTATGTGGCTTCTGATCCCAGCTTGGACCCTCACTCACAGGCAGCATGCACAGTCAGGGCTTTACCCACTGAGCTGTCTCCACAGCCTGAAAGCTACTTATCTATCACAAATATCCACGTTTATTGTGTTCACAAGAACAAAGAAAAATGCAAATGCAGATGACATTGTCTTACTGTGGGAGAACTGGAGGGGAAAGAAGGCCTTTGTCCCGACTCAGGGAATGCAGCCTCGGTATGTGTTAATGGGTTAGCATGCTGAGGTATGGCTCTTCAGATGACATTAATGATGGCATAGAGCTAATAGTAATGTCTGGTTCTGTTGCAGAGCAGCTCTGTGCTTCACTGTTTGTCACTTTAAATTAAAACTGGTCTAGTAGACTCAGCAGCTGGCAGGCATATTTTATAAACCATTTCCTGTCAGTAAATGATATCACGCCTGAAGTATCAGAGCCAGTGTTTCTCCCTGCAGCCTTGGAGTGTTCCCATTGTGGGAATATCAATGCTGTGCATCTAAGCAAGGGGAACAACTCTGCTGAGCCACTCTTAAGTACCAAGACAAGGTGAGAATCACCAGTGTAAAGTTCCAGCTCGCACTCCCGACATCCCGTTCTTTGCATCTGTTTTGACCTTATTCCTGGAGCCCTTATTATCTGTCTTGAAGCTATTTTCTCTCTTACAGTATGAGGGCTTCTTCTGTCACAGTTAGCTGCCATGCTTAAGAACAGCTAGCTGGCTACATGTTGAACTTCCTGAGGCCATAATGGAGTTGCTTTTTGCGACTTATCCCATTCGACAGTTACTGTTCCTGTTA